GCCAACTTTGTCCCAAAAGGTTTTCTTGTACCTGCTTCATTTCTAGTATTCGTGCACTCCCCAATTGGGAGGGTGGAGCATATGGCTGGTAACCATAGTTACTCATGATGAGACATAAGGAGCAAACCAAACCACCCCACAGTCTAAACTGAAGGCCACTTTCATTCAGCCAGTCTCAAGCTAGCCTTGAAGAGACCAAGATAATTCATCACTTTATGTGCAAGAAAAAAGTCACTAAGCCACTATGATTTTGTTGTCATTTGTTATGCAGAATAATTTCAAAGAAGTAAGACCTAGATGACACATAGGGCCAAGAATCTTAGATTAGTTAGTGTTGAGAGATAGAGTTTGGATGAACTTTCTTTCAATCCAGGTATTTTCAGACCCTTGCTGAGGTTGTACTGTGATGGAAACAAGTGTATGGCAGAAAAGTACCTAAAGTTAATCATTAGTCTTTAGAAAATAGATGTTTTTTGATGTTGCTATCTGAACTAGATATTAAGTTAAAATCATGTGTGACTAACTCTTCTTCCACTCATGATTTTCATCACTTCCTCTTAAGGATGATTGCTTTTCCATATTTGAAAACGGATAACACAATGTTGAGATTTGAATTTGAACATCTTTGGGTAAATAAGTTCCACCTTTAAGCAAATGGACCTATTTTGTACATGACTGGAGATGGACCCAGCGAAAATAAGAAGGAAGAATGAAGTCTTTGAGTAACTTGGACCAGTCTTTAGCTGGAGGAAGATCAGTCACAGTCTCATTTTGTTTTTTTCTCATTTCTGTAGTTTACTCTTAAAAGTCAGAGGCCCGGATTTCCTGCTCAGAATCTCCGGAGCTCTCTGGCTTTGGCAGTTCCATGTATCAGCCTTATGAATGTATCAAAGGGAAAAAGGAACCTCAAACCACACTCTCTTCCATCATCCTGTGTTGCAAACAACTTGCCTCTTGTATGTCCCTATTCCACCCTTGACTTCTGCCTTTCTTTGACCCTGCAATGTGCCATTCATAAGCCCACCTTATTTCACCTCTAGAATTCTCAAACATGTCTACTTTCCAAATCTATTTACTGTCCTTACCTCTGCTGCTGGCCGGCCACCATCTACAATGGACTATCCCAAGTGGCTTTCGGTTCTTTCCACTTGAGTTTGGCTCCTCCTTTCTCATACTCACACAGAGTGAGAATGATCACTCATCTTTCTTCAGGCTGCCCTAACTGTTGTTGATAAATCTAATTATTACAAAGAACTATAATGCTGTGTAGCTAGAGTTTTCCTGCCTGGCCCACAGTCAGGACAAATCTCTCTCACCCGCCAGTCCCACAGCCGCTCAGACCTGATCAAGTAAACACAGAGACTTATATTGTTTACAAACTGTATGGCCGTGGCAGGCTTCTTGCTAACTGTTCTTACAGCTTAAATTAATCCATTTCTATTAATCTATACCTTGCCACATGGCTTGTGGCTTACCGGCATCTTCACATGCTGTTTCTCATCATGGCGGCTGGCAGTGTCTCTCCGACTCAGCCTTCCACTTCCCAGCTTTTTTCTCCTCCTTGTCCCGCCTATACTTCCTGCCTAGCCAATGGCCAATCAGTGTTTTATTTATTGACCAATCAGCAACACATTTGCCATACAGACCATCCCACAGCAATGCTGTCCATGACTTGACCCCATAATAATTACCACTTTTTTTTTGCTCATTTACAATAATCCCACAGTGCAAGGAAGCACTTATAAATGTAAAGTATCTTGAAGCTTTGCTGTCAGGAGAGTTCACATGACACCTTTTCTGACCAATTGATGTATGCACTGCCAAAGAGCAAAATAGTTCCATATTCTGATGAAAGGACCACATGTGCCTTCTTGCTTTGGCGTATGATGTGCTTGACCTAGCATGGCATTACAAAGTCCAATCCCATTGATCATACTAGGGAGGCATCTCAAGGAACTGCCTAAATATATTCTAAGATTCTTTTGTCTGAGTCTTGACTAATTTCCAAGCTTCTTCTATCCTACTGGAGATGTACTAGCATAGAGTCTATGTTAAACACTAAGCAATTATCATTAAGTTAATGATGTTTTGTTTCTTCCTGTTATTTAATAATCTATTGTTATTATAAGTCCTAAATTGAATTTGTTTTCTACTTCCTAGGATGTAGCAGTAGGAAAATGGTGGATATCACAGTGCCAAGATTGACTTTTGTGAGCTCTTGGAGATTTTAAACAGCAGATGGGAATCTGTTCCTTTAGGTGACTGTTTTTAAATGTACAGGTGAATTCTCAGTATCTATCTACTTTACTACCCCTCAAACAAATATACAAATAACTCTCTCCCCAAATCAGAATGCTAATTTCAAGAGATCTTCTGTTCTTTTGAGTAGACTAATCCAGTATGTTAGTGATTGTTGTTTACACAGATGTTCAGAGTTGGCCCTTCTGAATTTTAGTATGTCTAACTAAATATGCTAAATCTCTTGTTCTTTATTTATAACATGTCAAAGATAATTTGTCAACCTTGTCTTATGACATAACTACCCTTGCATTCTTTCTGTAGGTAGAAATTAAATTTCTTGTGGGACAGTGTCTCTATTATCAGAATGAGTGGTCTATGTAAATGAATATGTAAAATTGAACTCCTGACTGAAAATTTCTTCTTTCTCTGAAATCCTGATGAAATCAATGCCTTTCAACAATCCCTATTTTATTTGTATATAGAGTATGAAGCTGTCTCAGACTGGCCTTTCTAATTTGCTTAAACTTGTATCCCTATTTTACCATCTTAATTTTTTGATTTCTTTATTTCTGATTTTTCTACTCACACCTTTCAACTCTCTCAGTCCTGTCCCATTCTGTGTCCTGAATACTTCTCTTCCTCACCCCACAAAACCTGTAAACTCCTAAAATGGTGCATATTCTGTCTTTTTTTCTAACTAACTTATGGATCAAATAAGATTTCATTTCTAGTTAGCTCAGGTATGAGACAAATATGAATAAATTTCCATTACAATTTGACCATGGAATTTCTACTATCACCCAGACTCCTTAGAATATTCATACACAAACTCATAAGCATTGAAAATCAGGTTAAACAAATAAGCAAGTTTGTAATTTTCACACGGAGTGTATATTATAAAAATGCAAATTGATTTGGACTATTTAAAAGTTATAATAAAGTGTTACTAAAGGAAGATATTTTGAAAGACAATCACCAATTCTTCCTGAGAAAGGTGAACTTCGTTCAACACCAAATTCTTTCTATCTTTTTTTTTTTTTTTATTTTGCAATACAATTCAGTTCTTCATATCAGCCATGGATTCCCTTGTTTTCCCCCCTCCTGCCCCCCTCACCTTCCTCCCAGCCCACCCCCCATTCCCACCTCCTCCAGGGCAAAGCCTCCCCTGAGGACTGAGATCAACCTGGTAGACTCAGTCCAGGCAGGTCCAGTCCCCTCCTCCCAGGCCGAGCCAAGCGACCCTGCATAGGCCCCAGGTTTCAAACAGCCATCTAATGCAATGAGCACAGGACCCGGACCCACTGCCTGGATGCCTCCCAAACAGATCAAGCCAATCAACTGTCTCACCCATTCGGAGGGCCTGATCCAGTTGGGGACCCCTCAGCCATTGGTTCATAGTTCATGTGTTTCCATTCATTTGGCTATTTGTCCCTGTGCTTTATCCAACCTTGGTTTCAACAATTCTCGCTCCATAAACCCTCCTCTTTCTCGCTAATTGGACTCCCAGAGCTCCACCCGGGGTCTAGCCATGAATCTCTTTGCAATAATTATCTTGTGACCAAAGTCACATATTTTAACTTAATTAATTGAACCAGAATTCATTCATATAAAACACTAAGGGGACTGTGCATACATTTATAATTTACCTCAGGTAGCAGGTACAACATCAAATGTTCATGATAAACTAATATTACTTTATTATGGTAAAGTTCATCATTTTAAGAAAAATAATAGGTTATGGTGTTGGAAACTTTAGAGGCTTTCTTTAGATCTGTGGTTCCCCACCTGTGGGGCATGACTCCTTTGGGAGTTTCATATCAATATTCTGCATATCATATATATGTATGTATATATAATGATCTGTAACTAGATCGTATTTTCTATAACTAGCAAAATTATAGTTATGAAGTAGCAATAAAATAACTATGGCTGTGGGTCAACACAACATGAAGGACTGTATTAAAGGGTCATAACATTAGGAAGGTTGAGAACAACAGCTTTAGATAATAGACACTTTGTAGAAATCATCTTATAAGAAGAAAATAATATTCTATTTCTATCTAGCTACATAGATAAGCAGAAGCTCATACTTATCTTTCAGTGTATCTTACTGAGAGAGGTATTGAAACTTTTACAAATTTTATAGAGCAAATGGTTTAATTCTGGGTGATTAGAATGCACTCAAATTATAGACTTGGGTAAGCACTCTTTCCTATTGACCTACAGCTGCCAGGAGCCAGGAGGTAGGGTCACAAGGTAATGGAAACCAGGCTGTAACACTATGGAATTGGCTACAGTTCTTGATGGGGAGTAATTACTATAATGTTTTCCTGGAAGCAATTTTGTAATACATTATCAACGCATACAGCTCTCAATGTCTCAGTTTATGTTCTAAATATATATTAAATAAATAGTATGAAAAAGTTCTCCACGTATGTATATCTATGCATTATGCCAGCATTTAAAATTACCATGTACACAAATTTAAATATTTTTTCAATATATTTTAAGTATTTAAATATACAGATACAGAAAAATTCCATGGTGCATATGATGACTATTGACATTTAAGTAACAGGAAACTATTACACATTATGTAGCAGATATCACTGATTTACTGAATATTTTCCTTCAATAGCTTCATTTTGCAAGAATTAGTGCTTTAAAATCAATAATTAATATGCTGAATGAATTTTTGAACAATCTAACAACAACGTTTTTATGCACGCATTACATGCATGTCCCCTCAGAACACTTACCTTTGGTAAGGAAGCCCGGGATCCAGAACTCTGTGTGGTCATAGTAAGCACAGTGGTGATGCCCAAAGCTACCCTAGCTGGGGCTGCATCCATGTTAATCCAGAATGAGACCCAAGATAGAATAACAATCAGAAGGCTGGGAATGTACATCTGGATCAAGTAGTAGCCCATTTGCCGCTCAAGATGGAACCGCACTTCTATGCATGTAAACTTCCCTAGTTGTTCATAAAAAAAAAAAAGCCACAACAATTAAAAGTCAAGTTTTGTTCTGCCATCGAATATGACTTAATTTTCATAATAATTTTACTGTAAGAATTTCTACTAAAATGAAGAGACACATTCAAATTGGGTTTTGTCTTTTAGATATTTTTTTTTCAGGCTTGCATCTGGAAACAGTGTGACAAGGGAGTGAACTTTTCCAGGAAATAGTACGTAATTCTATTTTCATGTTCAAATAGCTTTTCATACTTGCCAAAGTCCTCACAGATTTATTTTTTCGGTTTCTAACACTTGTCTGGAGGTGTATAGAACAATGCGTGTTTAGTATGCAAAGGTTATCTATACTTTCTGTTTCTGGAGCTTCCGTATACTTATTTAGTCAGCTGCTATTTGGTTCAGAGATCTTTACATTTCCTTTAAGTGTTAAGAGATAAATGCAAATGGAGATGAGTGGTTTCATAAACAATACTACAAAAAACTAAATATATATTATTTTCCATCAATAACTTTTGAGATAATCTTAGAACACATTGAAAAATAAATGAGTTATATTCATTGTATAAATGTATGCCTTTGCAACTCTGTTATATACCTCTGTTTCTGCAAATACAGGTTATGAATGTTTGACTCAACATTACATTAATATTTCTATCTATCCATTGGTTTTACTTCTGTTCATTTATTTTGACTGCTTTGTTATCAATTCTCCAAATAAATGGTCATCTAAGTGATTTGATTCTTGGTTTTATTGTCTGTTATTTTGAGTATGGTGATGTCAGAAAGTTCATATGCTCCTTAAGTATCATTCTCTGATATGACCACAGGAAAAAGATATTAAAGACCATGACTGGGAAAACTGCTGATGTGTGGTGAGGGGAGTGTCCCACGCAGAGCTCCTGTTAATGTAATGAGCTCATAAGTGATGGTAGAAATGCACAAAGGGTACAGCTTCTGGAGGAGAAGAGAAGTGATGTCAGAACTTTAACATTTCAATAACAGCTTGCAAGCTCTGGGACAGAGGAGTCCACTTTTTAATATGTAGCAGTCAGAACTTGTGCAACCCATACATGATCCTTTAGTCAACTTATCGATGGAATGATTAAAGATTCCTGCTGTATCTGAAAATATTTTGATTTTTAAAGCATTATTAAGTATAAAATTTAAAATACTTGCTATAAAGAAAATGAAATAGAGCAAGATTAATTGAGGTATTTCTATACCAATATTAATCCAATAAGTAATCTTACGACAAAAGTGAAAGTCACTTGCTTAGCATTTGTTCTCCAGGTTTCATATAATTCTCAAGGAAAACACAAGCTTTCACTGGGTATTTATTTTAAAAGCACTTTATAAATATATCTAGGCTGGAAAATGAAGTCATACACATGCAAGTATTACGATTGTACTTAAAGGCACATATAAATATATATGTAGGTATGTGTACTATTTCTGCGTTTGTGTACATGTGCGTTTTTATGTGGTTGTGAAAGAAAAAATGTAATGTTGGGCCACAGTGAAGAGAGGAAACTCACTCACGCAGAACAAAATGGACACGTTTAGCAATAGCAGGAAAAGAGGAAGAGGAAGATTTTAGAGGAATTCACATGAAACTGATCACAGGATCCTGAAGTAGGTAAACGTTTAGATTTGTGCAATTTAGGTTTTGTTGTTGCTGTAGTTTTTGCTTTTTTGGTTTGATTATTTTGATATAGTCTCACTATGTAGACCTGATTGCTGATTGGCTTGGGACTTGCTATTTAGACCAGGCTGGCCTGGAAGTCATGGGGATCACCTTGCCTTTGCCTACCAAGTGTTGAGATTCAAGGCATGTGCCATCACCTCCAGCTATGCAATTCATCTATATCGAAAGAATGAATAACTTCAATAATTTTATTTCCTTGGAAAACTGGACATTTATAACTGAGGATTTTTGCATATCCTTTTTTTCTTTTACTTGCAGAGGGAATGTGCGATACATGAGCTTACATTGGAAAACAATTAAAATAGAAGTCTTGTATGTTGGGGGCATAATATAAAAGGGAGTTTAAAGTTTGATACAAATTAGTCACATCTGTCAATGAAGACATTACCAGATGTTTTTTTTATCATTTTGAGCAGTGATACTTTGGGCATATTTTCATCTTTTATATTATACAAATATTAGACAACTAAGTCTTCTAGAAAACTCCTACCCAGTTAATTGTTTGACGTAAGCACTCATAAATGTGAGCTGAAATATAAAAGTATGTGAATGTACTTTCTGCTAAGATGAGTCTCCTGACCCTGTATCATCAAAATTCTCCCCCAGATGATGTCTACAGAGTCATCTATGTTCTATGTTGAATGTGTCCTTCTAAAAATCACATCCTTGGAGAATCTGTGAGTTTAACTTTATTTACAAAAATTGACTTGAAGATATAATCAAGTTAAAATGAATTCTTTATCTGTATTAATGGGACCCTATTCTAATATCACCAATGTCCTTGTAGGATGAGAGATATTTGGCTGCAGAGACAGGGATGCATGCAGAGTTCAGCATGTGATTATGGAGAAAGAGACTAAAGTGATGTATTTGTAAGTCAACTAATGCCAAGAGCTGTCAAAAATAGGAAACTAAGAAAATGTCAGGGAAGGAACATTCCTTGGAGCCTCCAGAGTAAACATATCTTTTCTGATACCTGTTTTTTTTTTATATTTAGCTTCTAGAGCTTTGCAAGAATAAAATTCTGTTGCTTTAATCTATGAAATTTATGGTAGTCTGTGATTACAGTCTGAGAAAACTAATGTACTGCCATATACTACCTCTAGAAATCTTTTCAATATATCCTAAAAGAAGTTATCAGTTTCTCTGTCCTTAGAGAAATGGGCAAGGGCACCGCCATTGGCTTGCCAGTTCTTTAATTTTATGCTTAGATGTTCACCTTGAACTTGCTCATAAGTTAGATGACATCTTCATCTGTGAGTTGAAAATGGTAATTAAAAACTTAGATATTCTGAGTTAGTAAAGAAGATAAGGGAGACTGGGGACTATGTGGAAGGAAAACAGAGCTCCCAATTCTGGGAAATGCCGAGGTCACAATGAATCCTACTTTACCATAATAACATAGAAAGAGTAACAGCTGATATTAGCATGCTGGCATCAGGCCATATACACCTCTCTCTAGGGGGAAGCTTGGCTTGTGGGGTAGATTCATGGCATTTATAGTTGGAATATGTTTATAGGAATAGCCTGCAACAGTTAGAAGTGAATAGACTTCATAAGGGTACAAACACCACATTGAGTTTGTTAACCCTCAGTGCTAGTTGTTAAATATGGTATCTACTCAAGACACAAGGTTCCTCTATCAGTCCAAGAAGTAACTGAAAATGGAAATTAATAAAAATATTAGAATAAATAGAAAATAGAAAAAACATTTTGGAATGCCTGAAAATATGGCAAATGATATCATTATTTAAAGCAAGTCCTTTTGTTAACATATACGGTATTTACTTCCAAAAACAGTTTAATTTATTTTCCTATAGAAGTAAAGAAACATGTTTAGAAACATGAAATTACCCATATACATGTGGCTCCATAAAGAATTTTCAAGTGAGCATCAAGCATTTCTTTGGACTCATACAAATCAAATACGACAAGAATCAGTGAGTGAAAGCATACATAAATTTTGAAATTGTCAATTTGTACTCCATGAGCTAAAGAAGTTAAAATTAACACAATATCATAATTTTAACAATCTGTATATTGTAAGATCAGAAATCATAATCATAGAGAAAAATACTCAGTCCCTACCTGTATTGTAGTGTTTAGTGCAGTATCGCAAATCTTTTTCTTCTTTCAACAGAAATTGAGGCAAAGTGAGTCCTTCGGCCACTTGTACTGGTGCCTCATCTTGCCATTCAAAAATGAGATCATTCATTGTGTACCCAACTAGACAAAATGTTATAGAAATGTTTGTAGCCAAAGGAAGACATTCAAATAGAGACAATAAGAACTTTCCTGCATAGTCACATGGAATGAAAGGCTCATTAAAACCTAGTCTATCAACTGAATAGTGTATTTCAGATTCCACTTCCCAAAGTCTATCAACAGTGATGTAAGAAAATGAAGTCCACTTGGAAGAACACAACATGGATGCTAGAATTTGTTCTCTCATGAGTATGGAAAGCTCTTGGATTAATTCAGCAATTTTTTACATTAGTCCACAACCTTTAATTTCCAGGACTACTCAATAAAACCAAATAGTCCCTGTTTAGAAAGTGAATTAAAGTATAAATATCTCTGGGGGAAACTATTAATGCCTGATGCCTTTCTTGCTTTAATCATCTCAGCTTATATAATCTGCTTCTGGGTCCCAAGTCCCAACATGGACAAAATAATTTGAAAATACAAGCTTGTTCTATTCGATAAAACATACACTTCGAGTAGTTTGACACATGGTTATGAGCTCAGTATAGACTTACAAATGAGTTTTTCAATAAGTCACAAGTGTTTATTAAGTTAAAGTATCAGATTTTGCTTTGGAGGGGCTTAATATAAGCAGAATTTTATCTTTTCCCAGCTGAATGAAAATTATGGAAATGTATGCTTCAGTGTTATTTGTCGTGGCAGAATCTAAGTGGATGTGAAGAGGACTATTTCTGTTCTCATCAGTCAATTCCATAGATTTAGAAGGAGAAAGGAAACATGATGTGACTCCTGAATTAAGTCAACTGGTTAAACCCGTAAGTTATTCCTATCTCTGAAGCTGTGTACAGGGGTGTTTCTAGAAAATATTCATGCAGTGATTTGGCACAGCTTTTGTGTAAGTTAGACAATGGGTAAGAGGTGAGCTCATCACTCTCTACTCTCTTTTAGAATCTTCCAGAGATAGTGGAATCTGGTCTAATTGCAGAGGCCATCGGGCGTGTGCTCTATGGGTAGAGGTGACCATGGTGACAAGTGTCAGTGATCAAATCTGCTTAGATGCCCTAGGATTTGGCTAACAAGTTTTCACAGGCACCATCAGTGTCTCGAGTCTCGGTTCATTATGGAGCAAGAAATATTTGGTAGCATCTGTATGGTCTTACAGATTGAAAGATGTCATGTCTGAATTTTGGTTCAAAAATAGATATTTAACTACAAGTGGTTCTCAACTTTCATAATACTAGAACCCTTTATTACAGTTCCTCATGTTTTTGACTTCAATCATAAAATTATTTTCATTGCTACTTCATAACTGTAATTTTACTATTATTATGAATCACAATGCATATCTGACACACAGGATATCTGATATACAACCTCAAAAGTGTCACTACCAACCAGTTGAGAACCACTGCTCCAGACCTAATGGTTGGTTTATTTATCCTAGAATATCTTTCAGTGAAACATGAAATTAATAATGATTGGATTGGTAATAAAATAATGATTCACTCTTTTTGTTGCTGTTTTGTTTTGTTTTGTTTTCGAGACAGGGTTTCTCTAGGTAGTTCTGGCTGTCCTGGAACTCACTTTGTAGACCAGGATGGCCTCGAATTCACAGAGATCAGCCTGCCTCTGCCTCCCTGAGTGCTGGGATTAAAGGCATGTGTCACCACAGCCAAGCAAGAATGATGCACTCTTATTCATAAATCCCTTAATATGTGCATTATAGATCACACTCTGCTTAAAGACAACACAGATGCACATTTCTCAGTGATCTAAAGACAGTAAGAGAAGCTCCAATTTTACCTGCTGTCAGATGAGACATGTATCTTACAATTCATACAAAGAATCACATAAGACAAAGTGCCCCAATTTAGATAGATGAATGAAAAGATAAGCTAAACCTTTTCTGTTTTGACATAATAAAGGCTTCATAAAATCTTCTGGAAACGGAAACTAGCTGTCTGAAGTTCCATTGAAGCCAAGCTCTAATTTTTCTCTCATCCAGTTTATAGGAGCACATATAGCTTGTTATGTGGTGAAGAACTATTCACATCAAGTGATGATGAATGGACATTTTACAGCCATATTACTGTATTTATTTACAACTCACAGCAGGTTTAAGCTTGAAAGTGGATGATGGTAAATAATAAGATGATCCTGTTTAAAGAACATTTCCTTTATTCTGAGTAACATGTCTTTGAAGGAAACTTAATGGCATTATTGCCTCAGTAAACCTTCAAACAAACTTTAATAGATTCTCTTCCACAGGGTTCAAATTGTTTTTATATTCTTTTCTTTTGGCTAACAAATTTTTATAGAAGCTTAAGAATATTAAGGAAAACAGATTGGGTAATGAGAGCAAGGTGATAAACTTATTTGCCTTATATTGCATAATAATATCACAACGAAAAAATAATTTACACAATGAACAAAGATTTTAACCTGAACATGTCCAACAACTTCATTTGAAGACTATGGTGAAACCTGTAAACGGATGTCTCAATTCTTGCTTTTCAACAAGTATTTATTGAGTACCAACTGTCAGTCAGTCATTGTGCTCCATTTGAGTTGGACCTTGATAGCAAAGAATGGCCCCCAAATGAAGAACACAAAAGAAAGAGAACTTAAGGGAAATGGAAAAGCAAGTTTGTTTGAAATAAATTAAAACACCCTTGGCTTGTAATAGATATTAGTAATAGCTCTTTTCATTCAAATCTAGTTTGCATAAAGAAGTATGTGAAATGGACAGACAAATCAATACATGTTTATGTCAGGTTAGATTCTGAGTTGAAAAACTGACTTTTTAAAAATACCTATAAGTAACATTAGGTAATTGGTATCTTTTGAGAAATGAAGTGAATTTACAAAATAGTGCTTTATACACATGATATCATGATTTGTATGAAAGGATCTGGCGGGTGTTGTGGTGATGTATTGTGTCCCCAATACATTGTCCACCCTAATAAAGTTTATCAGAAAAGCAGAACGAAGCCAACCATGTTCTCATCACTTGGAGATCCTAAGCCAAAGAGACCTACTTCTTTTATACCCACACCTATATGCCTTCCTGTTTTGCCATCTCATTTCCTCTCTCCTCCCTGCTACATCACTTCCTCTTCCTGCCCAGCTCTGTCACTTCCTGTCTGTCTGTACAGACCTCCAGACCTTTATGGTTAGTGCTGGGATTAAAGGTATGTACCACCATGCCTGGCTCTGTTCCCAGTGTGGCCTTGAACTCACAGAGATCCAGACAACTATCTGCCTCCTACATGATAGGATTAATGGCGTGTGCTACCATTGCCTGACCTCTATGTTTACTATAGTGGCTAGCTTTTTCCCATGATCCTCAGATAAACTTTATTAGGGTGCACAATATATTGGGGACATAATACATCACCACAACACCAGCCAGATCCTTTCATACAAATCACAAGGCTCAAATAACTTTCATGGTCATAATGACATATTATTTGTATTTTTCATTGTTCTAACATTTCCCCTGATGCTGAAACAGTGGTAGGTAATGTTTTAACACAATACAAGCAGTGGCACCAGGCTGTGCTGGAAGTTACTGTGTACCTAAGTGCCGTATCCCTTGGGAAAGAACGCCATGTTCATTTAACTATGCCCATGGCTGATGAAGTAGTAAATAATTTGTGGTCAAAGCAATGCTTCAAAGGTGTCCTTGATCCTCAGATTAGTAACAAGTACTAATCTACTAAAGTTTGATCTTTATGTAAATATCTTTGAACTCTGTGTGGCCAAGTTGGAATCCTGTACAGAGCACTCATCTGCATACTGTAAATATAAGGTTTCAAGGAACAGTGTTAGTGGATTAAGGGACAAACTGGACTAACTTTTTTTTCTTGATTTAGGTGGGTGCATATCATTTTTACTTGAAAAGTGAAATGATCTACTAATAGTGTTTCCTAGATACTTGACAGTCCACTTTTAAAAATATGAATGATATGGGTATATACCATGGGATGGAAACTGACAATAGCAGTTGTGAATAACAGATTCTGAAATTTCAAGCCAAAATTAGATGTTTGGAGAAATTATTTTCTGCAAAGCTACTTGAACAACCAAGAACCTGAGACTAGATAGCTCAGGGACTAGGTAAAATCAAATACTACTATTCTACTAAAAGAACATAGGAAAAAAAACTCCAATAAAACATTCTATTATACACATTATACTCATAGACCAGTGTCTTGCTCAGACATCATCAGAGAAGCTTCCTTATGTAACAGATGGGAACAAATGCAGAAACCCACAACCAGACATGATGCAGAAAGTAGAAGACAGTCAGGCCTAAACAGGATGTCTCTATCAAATCCCTCCCCTCAGGGCTCAGAGAACCCTGCGGAAGAGGAAGTGGAAAGAGTGTAAGAGCCAGAGGATACTGAGGACACCAAGAAAATAAGACCTTCTAAATCAGCATGATCGATGCACATACGAACTCACAGGGACTGAGGAAGCATGCACAAGATCTGCAGGGTGTGCACCAGATGGGGTCTTGGAGTTGAAGGGAGAAGTGGACACGTGTCCCACCCCTAACCCAGAAACTATCTCCAATTGATAATCACTTGCAAATAAAAAAAAAGTTTTCATCAAGTGATTCTCACTGGAGAAACAAACTACTCTTTCCTTTATTTTATTTATTTATTTATTGAGGCAGGTTCTCACAGTGTAGACTAGGCTGGCCTTGAACTCACAGAGTTCCTGGGATCAAAAGCACATGCCACCATGCTGGCCAAGCTCTGGATCTTTAACACATGGATTGACAAACCACTCTTAAGGGTGGGCTGCATGCCCAGCAGTAGATGACCAACAGACAATGAACTCAACGGGGCATCATTGGAGGTTCCTTGTTTCATAATGTATCATGGCTGTTTTTGGCTTTTTTTTTTTTTTGTTGGTTTGTTGGTTTTTGTGTTTTCTCTCTCACTCTCTTTTTACCCTACAGGAGAATATATATGTGTGTGTGTGTGTGTGTGTGTGTGTGTGTGTGTGTGTGT